ACTGAACTTAAAGGGTTAACTACCCCCTTTGCTAAACTATAAAACACTGATCTTAACAACTAGATGTTAATCTTGTGACTTACTGAACTTAAAGGGTTAACTACCCCCTTTGCTAAACTATAAAACACTGATCTTAACAACTAGATGTTAATCTTATCCACATGTTTTCAAATGTTTGCATCTTTTAGCATTCAACACCATAACTTTAAAATTCACTTGTTACTTAACTACAGTTTAAGAATATATTTTCAAATATCTAGAGCCTAACTTAAGTTTATCTTTTTATTTTACTTCACTCCAAGAAGGAAAAAGGAGAGTGAAACAGAAGAAATTAATTACAAAACAGGCATCTTTTCATAAAGGCAGAAAGTATTTGGATGAAAATGCAAGTAAAAGTCCTGATGTTCATCATGTCTCAACAAGGAAAAACTGTTTGCTTATAAAGTCTTCTAGTGGCATTCTAAAGTAAGTGCTATTGATTTTGATAATGACTAAAAACTGTACCTCACAATAAGCTACTTGAAATGCTTTAGAGACTTAAAATATGCTTTATGTTTTTGAAAGTTTTAACTACTTATGGTAAATACAGTTATGAACAATTTTACCATACCAGGTTTGGTGAATGTGTTATATTTTATAATATATTTAAAATTGTTTTAGATTTCTAAACTTTAACACCATAATATACACTACAAGAAAAACATAGATAAAGGGGCAAACATATAATATTGATACATATAATATTGTCTGAAAAAGTTATTTGAATGTTGCCCTTTCATGGTGTGGTTGATACATTATTATATACTTTTCTTTATTTTCACTGTTATTAATATTAAATTAGTTATGAGCAAATTTTTTGTGCTGTATTTATTGAAAATACTTACTGTTTGGTAAATATCCTTTCCTTAACAAGAAACAGCATAAAGGTGATTGAGCAAGAAATTGTAAGTTTAATTATTCAAGCCCTTCTGGGACTACCTTGGATATCATATACATGAATGCTTAGCTTACCATATGTAGGTCTGCAGAAAAAAACTTCCTTTTCATAGATTTTTGTGTTAAACATGTGACACTGTAGAGCAAATCAATTACTAATTAAACTGTTAATAACAGACAGATAATATAACATAGCATTGTAATGGAAAATAAAGCAAAAAGAACTTTGTTGTTTAACCTAACTGGATTAGTGAACTTGTAGAATATTGATAGCTCCTGATGAGGCCCAGTATGGCCAGGTAGTTAGGGTGCTCAACTCGCAATCTGTGTGTTACGGGTTCGAATCCCTGTCACACTAAACATGCTCATCCTTTCAGCCATGGGGGGTTATAATTTGACGGTCAATCCAACTATTCGTTGGTAAAAGAGTAGCCCAAGAGTTGGCAGTGGGTGGTGATGACTAGCTGCCTTCCCTCTAGTCTTACACTGCTAAATTAGGGATGGCTAGCACAGATAGCCCTCGTGTAGCTTTGCACAAAATCCGTAATAAACAAACAAGCTCCAGATGAAGCTGTAAAAGTGAAATATTGACCTAATAAAGAAACATTCTGGAGATATAGATCGTTGTTTTATTTAACTTAAAAGAAACCCACCTTGTGACATTTCTTTGCATCATTGAAAACTGGATGTACAGCATCAGTTTCTCTAATTTCTTCAAAGAATCTTCAAATTGGTACTCAAGATTTGCATTGATGCTGAACTAAATGCTATTTGTGTCAGTCAATGCCAGTGATATCACACAAACATTCATTGATTTGCATGATAAGGCAATCAATTTAGTCAGTAAACTGAAAAACAAGCTTGAATCAGTCCAGCATTATCCATGTCTCCTGTTGTTCCACATGTTACCTGACCTTGCTGCCCTACATAAGTTGGAGGGGTCCATTCCATTTACATTTTTCTTTGACTTTCTCTCCTTCCTTTTCTTAATTCTGGTGGATTGCCCAAAATTACATGGATAATACCTGCAGACAAGTGTCTATCTCATTTCTTGAATATGGTATCAGAAAGTACACATCTGAGTACAGAAACACAGAGTAAGGCAGTTGAGAGACATGATACAACTGCCAAGTTTACACATGTAGATCTGCAGATGCCTAAGATCCAAAAAGAAGCCATAGTTAATATGTTTGACAACTGGACAAACTGAATGTTGATCACACAGATCTTCTTAGTCTGTCTATTGCTCAGCTTTCCCTACAAGATAATGATCTCAAAATTTAAAAAAGTTGGGAAGCAAGCATACCAGGCTTTCAAGAAAAATCAGCTTGAGAGTGATTCTCCCTCTTAGAAATTTCATGGCAAGATGTACAAACTGGAACTGAAAACATTCTCATACACAAACTGGAAGAAACGGATGGCCAAGACCTCATGAAGGAACTCATACTCAAAGCAGACAGGACATACACAAACTGGGAGAAACGGATGGCCAAGAACTCATGAAGGAACTCATACTCGAAGCAGACAGGAATTCATCTGGACACATGATTATTGTTGCTCAGAATTGTACATTAGAAAAGTACTTGCACACACCCATTGACGTTATTCATGTTGAAGGAACTCATACTCAAAGCAGACAGGAATTCATCAGGACACATGATTGTTGTTGCTCAGAATTGTACATTAGAAAAGTACTTGCACACCCATTGATGTTATTCATGTTGAAGGAACTCATACTCAAAGCAGACAGGAATTCACCTGGACACATGATTATTGTTGCTCAGAATTGTACATCAGAAAAGTACTGCGCACACCCATTGATGTTATTCATGTTGAAGGAACTCATACTCAAAGCAGACAGGAATTCATCTGGACATATGATTATTGTTACTCAGAATTGTACATTAGAAAAGTACTGCACACCCATTGATGTTATTCATGTTGAAGGAACTCATACTCGAAGCAGACAGGAATTCATCAGGACACATGATTATTGTTGCTCAGAATTGTACATTAGAAAAGTATTGCACACACCCATTGATGTTATTCATGTTGACAAATGGATACTAAGGTTGCAATAAGACTATGAATGCTATGACAGAATATTTTTTTCTCAACATTTCGACTACAAGTCTTCCTCGGGAAATCCATAATCTCATAATCATAATTTATGGTCGAAACATTGAGAATAAAAGATCCTGTCATAGCATTCATAGTCTCATGGCTACCTGAACACCATTGACACTGGCACTGTCAAAACTGAATGGATCACTATGAAAAACTAACAAGACAACTCTTGTCAGAGTGACAGTGCAGAATGTCGCTCCTGTTGAAGCCTTACTCAGATCCTTTGCCTACATTATTAATAGTATGATTCTCATTCAAAAATTGAAAAGAGAGAATATGGTATTTGCAGAATATGCCATTAGTACTTAAAGGTTCAGAAAGTATTGAGTTGGTCTTTGATGTTTACTGGGACTTGTCCACTAATAATGATGAAATATTTTACAGAGGATCCAGCACAGGTATTCAGTTCAAGAACATAATTGTTGGTCACAGGATTCAACAATGGAGAAAGTGTCTTACATTGTCCCCTCAACAAGTCATGCCTCATTAAATTCTTGGTTGAAGAATGAAAAAAAACAAGAGAACAAAGAGAAGCTGAATAACAAATTATTCTATCTCATTTGTGAAGACCTCTGCTTCAAACTAACTAAAGACCCGTGAGAAGCAACTGAGAGGCCTAAGTCAACATTCTCCTTCATGCAAATCATGCTTCAAATGATGAATATGAAGCTGTCATAATCACTGCTAAAGACACAAACATCCTTGTGCTTTGCCTCACACTCTGTAATAACATATCTTGTCCGTCATTTCAGAAGAGACTTGCTAAAGACACAAACATCCTCATGCTTTGCCTCGCACTCTGTAATAACATATCTTGTCCGTTATTTCAGAAGAGACTTGCTAAAGGTACAAACATCTTTGTGCTTTGCCTCACACTCTGTAATAACATATCTTGTCCGTTATTTCAGAAGAGACTTGCTAAAGGTACAAACATCCTTGTGCTTTGCCTCACACTCTGTAATAACATATCTTGTCCGTTATTTCAGAAGAGACTTGCTAAAGGTACACTGATATTTCCTTTTCCTTTGGGACTAAATATGCACTGTAATGATTGAAGTGCGTGGTTTTTGTAGATGTGATACTGTTAGTGCCTTGGCAGGCAAGAGCATTCAAACTCCTAAGATAGGGGAGCACACTTACCAACAGGTTTTTGTTAAGCTAGGACAGTCATAGGAGGTTTCACATGATCTCTTTGAGAATCTGCAGGCAACTACATGTGTACATTAAGTGATGGCAGTAAATGCCAGTACCATGTCTTTCATGTCAAAAGGTGTGAAACTGACTAGCCAGATTCCGCTATGCACTACATGAAAAATATCAAGCATAAATTTGAAGACAATGTCTTCAATGCAAACCTGTTGTACTAAGTCCTATAGGTTGTGGCTGACCACTGATTATAAAAGAAATTTGGAAATTCAGAAGATGACTAAATCATCTGCATCCAAGGCTGCCCTTGAGCAACTGCATCCAGTCTTACATAGTCAGTTGGATCATCTGCATCCAAAGCTGCCCTTGAGCAACTGCATCCAGTCTTACATAGTCAGTTGGATCATCTGCATCCAAGGCTGCTCTTGAGCAACTGCATCCACTTTTACATAGTCAATGATTGCGTATGAATAGATAATGTACTCAAATCCACAGAGAATGAAGAGGAAGATGTGCAGGATTATTTGGATTATGACAATATCTGAATTAGTATGTATATGCTGTTTCAATAATACATTCACGATCATGGATTATGACAAATTAGCCTCAATCTATACTTTTTAGTTTCATAGGCTATAATAAGAATCCCATATTGTCCTCATAAATATCAATAAATGTTCCAATGATCTACACTGTGTAATTTTCATTATGTCCATTAATGATAAATAGATTTTAAGGGAAATATAAAAAATAATATATATATATATATATATCATGTTGAACAAATGAAAAAATATTTAAAAGCTATTAATTTGTAATTACTTAATTTTATCATGTTTAGAAATAATTCAGCTTTCAGTCAATATACCATTTGATATGGGAAATATTAACAAAAAAGCCAAAACTATAGTATCTTTAAGCCAAAAAATATTTCTCATCAGCCAGGTGATGTGTTACTTAAGCAGGTGATTAGCACTGCTAAGCTACCAGTTACTAGAGGTTATCATATCAAAACATCATCTTTAAAAAACACATTGTTATAATTTGCCACTTTAGATGTTACTCATGGACTGTATAACATAACACATTCACTGCTATTGGTCACATGTATGAATCCAAGGGTATGTTAGCTAGCACTGCCAATGTATATGTGTGTCAATTAAAACACTGAGACAAATGCATTTTATTGGAGCCAGCATGTGTTAGAATTCAGTTCTGCGTGTGACGGCACTCATGTGAGGGTCTCCTCTTGTAGAAACTGTGCGTGGTTGTAAGTTTTTTTATTTTATACATATTTTCTGGTTGGCTTTTATGAGATGGATAAAAATAGTGCTCCTACAAAGCCCATGCTAAGAAAGAAGATGACCCACTTAATGACAGCCTTTAACAAAATATAACTACTCCTTATAAGAATCTCTCTCTTGATGAGTCTATGGTGTGGAGAGGTTGCCTTGTTTACAAGCAGAATATAAGACCAAAAGACACAGATATAGGATAAAACTGACAAAGCCCTCTGGTTTGGTTGTGAAACATGTATAATGTGATGCATTGAATGATATAGGAGGACAGGGGCATACTAGGAAGGTTTTGCATCTCATGGAAGGCAATCTAAATATTGATCATGCCCTGGCAAGTAAGCTCCTAGACTAAATACATATGGTACAGGAACTCTTCTCTGTAATTGCAAAGACAATCCTAAAGCTGTCACTGATGCAAATTTAAAAAAATAAAAGGAAGTGACAGTATTCTAATGGTGTGGCAATAAGCAAGTGGATAAATAAAAGGGAAGTTCTCTTAATTTCAACTGTTTATGGACAAAATTATAGACATTACAAATAGGGAAGGAAAAGTTACAAGCAAATCTAAGGCTATCGCACAGTAAAACAAATTTATGTTTGGTATACATTGACAGGATCAAATTATTTCATATTATCCATGCTGGTACACGAGGCATGGCATTCATATTGTTCAGATGATGATGTAGTTAGGTGACAAAACAACTTTGTTTAAGTTTCACGTTTCAGTTATACAGGAGCATATTCTTCATCCATTAGTAAACTTACTTGCACTCATCACCAGAAGTCAACAAAAAAATATTTCATAAACCATCAAAACTCCCTCTTAATGACCAGGGAAAAACTATGTGGAAGCATTGTCGAGTGTGTTTTAAAGGGGTAAATTTTAAAGACACAATGCATTATTGTGCAAATTGTCCTAATAACCAGCCATTTGTATAGAGCCATGTTTTACAAAACACATCAGTAAATAATGACTAAAAAAGTAGTCTAACAGAATTTTTTCTTTTTTATTTGCTCCTTTACATTAGATGTATGCCAGAAAATAATAATATATGATGTGATATTTTCTTGTTTATAATTTACTTTTCTTGTACATTCAAATGTATCTAAAAAATAAAAAAATAGATGGCACGCAAGTGCATCATGCAGCACTCATAAAAATATTTTACCTGCAGTGCTAGTAATGCTCAAGTGCATCATGGTACAGATTTTACTTGAATAAGCATATATGGCCATAAATGAGGCAAAAGAGAATGTGTTAGAGACTTATCTTTGAAAAATGAGAATAATTTTTGGTGCAAAATTTCAAACTATTGAATTTGCTAAAATAGTTAAAAATTACTAATGCAGTCTATATACATGTGAATATTTCATTAAATGGGTATGAATGTTTTATTTAATGGTAAACTTTTTTAACTTTATGTTAGTTAACATCTTTAACAAAAAATTATTTTGTTAACTTTCAGTGGCTCTGAAGGAAAGTACGACATTTACTCGAAGTTTTTCATGGGTAAGTAAATTAGAGCATAAACATTCTATATTTCTCTTGGCTTTTACTTTATGTGCCACTCCCCATTATTATATTTATGTGGGAGTAAATAAAGTAAAGCAGCAGCTACTAACATTTGATGATAGCCACATATCGTTACAAAATTTTAAATTGTGCAAGGATATGCATATGTGTACTCCATAAAACATTACCTGCTTTTTTTCAGAAATAACACAAACTCACTTGAAATACTGTTGTTTACTGGTGTCAGTCGATGAATTAAATCTATTGTTACGTCTCCGTTCGTTAGTTGATTTTCTGTAACTTCGTTCTGACGAAACTTAATAAAGCTGGTTTATTCTTTCCGAATACAACTTTACGATACACTTAATTTCAACAGTCGCTCTGTAACAACACTATAATTCACGTCTCACGAGGCCAACAATATTTTGTTTGCATACATTCAATTACTCATTACACTGTTCTCTCGTCACGTTGTGAGCGTCTTATATATATACCAGACTAATATATATCTAGTAATCTCCCGATAATTCCCGAAGGTCACGTGACCTCACTGACGCAACACTATTATTATTAACTACTCTGTACATTATATCTAATATGTAGCAGGAATATGGTGAACATTATGTTACATATACAAAGAAATCATTTTAGTAAAACACATTCACCCTGTAAGACTGAAATAATATTCTACAATATTATGTTGAAATTGATAGTAAATAGTTCAAGCAAAAAAAATCTTTTAAAAGAAATTTATTACAATAATGATGTGGTATTCAGACACACTGATGTCCAACAGAAAAATTAAAGTATCCACAAAATTCTAGTTTTATACAGTTAATCAAAGAATTAATTGAATACAGACAACAAAGAAAAACAAATATATATGTGAATAGCTAAAAAAGTATTCACACAAAAATAAAATGCATTTATTAAAACAAAACTGACTAGCTTCTCTTAACTTGCTCATTACACAAGGACAAAAGAATCACATATGCACAGGATAATGACCAAAGACAGAATATTGTTATACCACACTTTTTAAGTCAGATGGAGTGGAAAAGAAGCAAGAAGAACGAGAAAAGAAACAAGAAGAGAGATTACAGCAGTTGTTGGAGGAAAAAGAAAAGAAACAAGAAGAATGAGAAATAAACAAGAAGAGAGATTACAGCAGTTGTTGGAGGACAAAGATAAGAAACAAGAAGAGAAATTACAGCAGTTGTTGGAAGAAAAAGAAAAGAAACAAGAAGAACGAGAAAGAAACAAGAAGAGAGATTACAGCAGTTGTTGGAGGAAAAAGAAAAGAAACAAGAAGAGAAATAAACAAGAAGAGAGATTACAGCAGTTGTTGGAGGAAAAAGAAAAGAAACAA